CCAGAGAAGTCAGACGGTGCGGAGGATGAGGAGGGGGGAAACGAGGGAGACGACAACGGTCCTTCCCGCGGGCAGTCGCAAGACACCGACGAGGACGACAACAGCGACGACAAATCGGCCAGCCAGAGTACCGGCGAAGACCGGAGCGCCGCTTCGGAAGGAGATGATTCCCCATCTCCTTCGAGGACGCTGCGCAGTGAAGGAGAACGGCAAACACGCAATGGCAGCGACACCGAGGAGCCTGTCGGTGACAGACAAATCGTGCAGCACGTGAGCGCCACTGGAAAAGGTAAAAAACCCGCGTCGCACTCGCTCGCCTCCCACTCACGAGCAGCTAATCCTGTGCCCCCACGGGGCGCAAGCCTTCACGCACGGAAAAAGGGTTTTAGTGAACGCACTGTTGATAGCCGAATCTTCCAATTACCAAGTGTTGTATTCAGAACAAGGCGCCGAGTTGCTAACACTATCCTGTGCGTTGTGTCTTGTGTTTCCCTGCCCATCGCAACGTCAGGAACGAAAGTGCGCACAAAGGGCATAGCCGCGCAAGGACTCAACGAGGAGGGCGCTGTATTAGCGAAGAAAAAGAAGGGCAAGCTGTTGCGTTCCGTCGCCAAAGCCTTTGCGTTCTCTTCGGCAAACGATGCAACTCTGTACCCTACAGAGGACACGTTTTTCGCAGCGGTGCAAGCGACGACCAAACTAGCAGGGGGGACAGCAGAGGAAGGGTTGCGGTCTCACATTGCAGAGCGCGGGATTCGAGCTGTCATAGGGGAATGCAACAGAATTATGACGACGATCCGCGGAGAGATTACCTGGCAGCTGAAGCATTGGTTCTGGGCAGAAAAAAGGATTCTGCTGGTCGGATCGCAGAAATCGGACCACCACCTCCCCGCTCGCAACAAGATGCGCGCCGAGATGAAAGAGAACAAGACATGGAGACGGAGCAGCGACGATCCGTGGGGCACCCCCGCCTTCAAGACGGCACTCTTAAAAGTTTTCCAGATGAGGAAGGAAGGACGAAACCTCGGCGTCACCCTGCAGCAACTCGCTTTCGCGGAGATGGTCATTCAATGTGAGATAAAACAGACAATGAAGACGACACGAGCTGCGGAGCAGATAGAAAAATTGGTATCTATAAAGCAGGCAATCGTCTCATCTCTACGAGCGCGCGACACGGTAATGAGTTTTTCCGTCTTCAAGCTGAAAAAATCCGTATCCGTGGCTGAGAAGGCAGCAACCCTCTTTCGCTGTGGCATGCCGTCTGTCGACAGGCCTGGCCTCCCAAGCACCACCATAACGAATGACGATTACGACGTCGAATACATTCTCCCTCAGAGTACACCAGCCGGCGGCAGGGGGGCGCGCACGGACAGTCTGTGCGCCGCACCCTGAAAATTTAGGGACAGTTTGGCTACATTTCGACATGGAAGGGAGGATGCTGGGCAATGACCAAACGGTGGAACGGAAGGTTCTTTTTGTAGACGTTTCGAATCAGGAGATGCAAAATGGAAGGGGACAGTCGGAGAGAGAGAGAGAGAGAGAGAGAGAGAGAGAGAGAG